GCTCGCACCTTATCGCCACCGTATGATAAGAGTTACGAGTGCCTCGAATTGGATTCATTATCTGCTCGCCACGCCGCGGAGCATTTAAACCGTTTAAAGAACTCTTTAGGGACGCTCAACGCTTTTTTGCCATATGGGAATCTGAGCGGTTCCATTTGGCTTTTTCGTGAAATTCTGTAACTGGACTAGATCGTGATTTGAATTTACTTAAGGTGTCGAGTTTAAGCATGGTATTGGTACAAACATATCATTCTAGACATATTTTCATTCCTAGGCCAAATCGGATCACTTGTGTGGAACGGGTTAAACTGGATCAAAAAGGATTGAAGTATACGTCTAGGGTCAATAAAGAACACAGTAAGCGAAACAGACTGAAATTTGTCACTGTGCAAATCGTGGTACGAATACAGTGACTTGGTAAAACGCCACAGGGTGCTGAACGGTAGTCCCTCAGTGCCTAATGACAAGAATTCAAGAACAGACCTGGACTGATCCTCTTTGAGATCTGACGACTGAATCGAGGTATTTGGAGCTAAACCCTACTCTAGCAACAACCGTCCAAATACAAGTTATTATCCTATAAACGTGTCGACAATGGTAAACTGGATGCATAAATCGTCCTATCTCCATGAATAGAAAACACTATTGAAGTGCCTGACCTAAGTCAATAACCACCCCGTCGGCAACAGGCAAGGTCACTCGAGAGGTCCCCAGGAAGGTCTCCGCATTCGTTCTACTTGGAATACTCATATTACAAGGCTCATCAAATTTCATGAACCCTGGGCCAAATGTCTTCCTATTCTACGTGTACGCATGTCTCAACCTAATGTAGAATTTTAGCTGCTCGCGAGTCCAGTAAAAAGTTTTGAATATTTCTATATATAATCCACCCACCGTGCAATCCACCAACCGCCTTTGTTTCCACCCACAACAACGACGATAATGTTTTCAGCGCGAAGGACACAGAGAACCTTATCGCCGTCCCGTAATCTCACGAGCAAACTTCTACAGGCAAGCAACGCGGGAATAGTAGCAAATTATCGTCGCGTGACAGCATAGTTGCAGATCGGCGATAACCTTGAAATCGTAAGCAGAATTAATCGGCCGTGGATCAACAACAACCCACGTCGAGACGGCGCGACGCGAGAAACGTATACACTTTCAAAGCGCATGCGTGTCGCGTCGACGCGTGCGCCGTGAAAGTAAAATGGAGGACTTTCTCTTCGAACTCCCCTTCCCTTGGTCCACGCGTCGAACGGCAGCTTAACTCCATAGGAAACCGTATTTAAAAATCATTCATATCTAACCGGGAAAATTAAGGCGCAACCGTGCACGATGCGGTGTTTCTTTGACGCCGTGAATGGTTCATGGCTAAAAATAACCGACTGGCTTTATGGTGCGTCCGTTACGACCGCCATCGTCCCGAAATACCGGCCGAGTGTGTTAACGCTGCTAACGGCCGTGCAACTGCATATCCCACTGGAAATTTACACACGTTCCGTAGAAATATTTCCCTGTGACATGAGTTCCACTGTGGAATAACGTTGCACAAGTACCCCCCAAATGAAAATGGGGAAGGTAATAAGGGTGCAAATGGGGATACACGGTGTTCCATACCATGTATACAAAGTATGGACGTTCTGACTTCTAGTTAACCCTTCCATTCCCGCTGTTGTCATACGGCTACGCACTCTAAATTACGAAATAAAACATCAGCATATAATAACTATAGCTAAAAGCATATAATAACATTATATCTAATGCGAATTATTATATATAACTGTGTTAAAAATAAAAATATTGCCAAATTGACAACGAATGGAATATGGCATTAGACGGTTTCAAGGATGTTAAAAAGTTCTTGCGAATGAATATGTTGTATAATATACGTAAAAACACAATAAAATTTTTGTTTGGTAATTTTTAAATAATTCAGGAATGAAAGGGTTAAATTCAAATTTCTTTAGGAGATAATATATTGCAAACCTTGTTTTAGGATGAATCGGTCAAACCTATCAAGATTAATTTGTAAATTTTCGTTTAACCCCTGAATCTAACGCCTCTAGCAATCGTACAGACGAAAATCTATCTCACTAAGGACCCATAACGGTGTCGTCATGGAAAAATGTACCCTTTGTGTAGCATCTGTAATTCCCAGCGTACCATGCAAATCATCGAACCAGAACGACGAAGTTATTCGTTAAATCGTTAGTTCAGAGTTAAATCGATGCGTGTCTTCCCCGGTAAAATTATTCGACGCGATTTAAATCCGAGGGCGAGGACACTCGAAATGTCGTGGCGGCGAAACGGGTGTGTTTACGCGCGCGCGAACGAGAGCGAGTACGATTCGTTTTCTCCCTCCGGTTTCTCCGTTTAGTCTTTTTCTCGGCCTTGATCGCTCCGGCATGGAGCAAGGACCGTGGAGAAAAAGGAAAGGAGGTATATAACCCGGGAGAAGAAGCGAGGATGCAGTGAAATCTCTCTTACTTCCCCTGTTCGTTGGCGCTGGGACACACACAGAGCAGCGTGCATACGTTCCTACGCCACAGCTGTGTTGTGTGCGTATGCGTATGTATATATATGGAAGTGGGGAACGACTTCGAGAGGCGGCTGCACTCTCGTATCGCTACGAATGGTTTTGTCCCGATTGGAAAGTCTGTTTTACAGGCGGCTACGAAGCTGGTCCTACAGGAGGAGCTCTATATACAGGATGTTTCAGGATGACTTTAAAAAAAAAAACTCTGACAGACTGTGATATGGATAGGTCTAGATCCTGAAGAATTCATATTGATCTTTATATCGTGAACTTAAGAAAGCAGCACCTTCGATGTTCGATGAATATTTTCCTTTACTTTAGAATTCGCTAATCTTTTATTAGATGAATTCAAGAGCGGCAGTAACGTTGAAGTTGTCACTATCATTATTATTTTTAAAGGAACTGATGTATGAATACAAGACACCACAAGTCCATTTACGATGTCGTGAAGTCTGCACGATTTAACCAACTTGCATCATTAGCATATATGTATATATATATATACCCGCAATTTTCCAGGTCACTGTCACGGAAGCGTATATACAAGGTGTATCACCTGATTTTGTCACCTTGATTTTCTCGCTATTGTTACTCGTAGCAATCAAATATTGTTTTCCTTTTATACTATCTGAGATATTTGTAATTAAATAACAAAAATTTCGTGTTACGGGCCTATTTACCATTTCTTTTTTCAAATGATGCCAATAGGTTAATAGCAATTTTAAAATTCTGTTCTGAGAAAGCGAGAGGGGGAGAGCGCAAAGTCACTCAACAATGTTGCGGAAGCGAAGGGAGGTCCCGTTTTCGCGGCGGGCACTTAGCAGATCGGCGTTGCGGTAAATAAAACGGGGCCGGTTTCACGGTTCGATTCCCAAAGCGCAACCGTGTACAGCAAACGATTATCGCAAGGTGTGTAATGCATACTCGCGAGGCAACGGGGCAAGAGTGCAATTTGCGTGGCGCCGCTCGCCGATCCCGCGCCATTGGCCACGCGCCAACCCAATTACGGTAACGAAATAAAAAACAAGAGCGCCGCTCGCCGATCCCGCGCCATTGGCCACGCGCCAACCCAATTACGGTAACGAAATAAAAAGAAGAAGAAAAAGGCAGATTTTCTTTCTGGCTTTTAAACGCTTCTCGTAAAGATCACGAAACGCGCGCGAGATTTAATACAACACAACTTTCATACGACCCCCGCGTAAAAGTTGTCCTACCGGAAACATTTCGGTCGAACAAAATGGCTTACAGCCCCCCTGGCTACTGCTGCTCCGGTCACGTACACACGTTTCAACCGGTGGATTAATTGCCGGTACCGCTCACTCGTTTCCGAGTACAAACGTTGTTCGAGAACGTGTGCAATCGGCGAATGGCTACGAAGAAAAGAGGAAAATTAGCGATTCCACGGTATGTACATAATACCGAGGGACTGCGATTCCCGGAAAATGTCTGACTCTCACAATGGTACACAGATGGGAAACGATGAGTCGTACGAACGAAGCGCGGCAATCGACGACGCGAAAACGTGACGATGCATCAAGGAAGATGGGGAAATCATTAACCTTGCCTGTTCCGTGGGCAACGAAGCATGGAATTTGTATGCGTCATACACACACACACACAGCCCCGCGGATGTCTCGAGCAACGCTTAAAGAGACACACGAGATTACAATGCATTGCCACACCGCCTATCCTGCGGTCCCAGGCGACAATGCATACCTCTTAGGCTGCCGAAGATAATGGACCTCCTACCGTTCGATCAGTCGACCTCTGACACTGGTAGAACGATTAAGCCAGCATACATCAGAGCGATTAACCCTCCGCGCAGTGTATTGTATTGGTTCAGGCGATCGTGCAGACGACAATGTCTGGATCTACTCGAATCCGTAATGTTTTCAATTGCATAAACATTTCAGGCATAGGTCTCGTTCGAACGATTGTGCTTTCGATTACACTTTGTTTGATGTCTAAGGGTAGTTTGTTCTTTAACAGTCTAACATCCCCACCACCGTATCTGTTACCTATTCTTTTGTCCCACTGCCCGGAAACATGGCTTTTGATCGACTTTAAAGACCCTTCACCCTAGATCACTAAACTACCCTGTGACTTACATTATTACGAATCATTCGTAAAAATTACAACCGAAGGAGAACATGTAATATTTCAGAAAAACACGACTTTTGTTGAAGTAGAAATCTACCGTAAGTATTTATAATAGTCAGACTTCAAAATAATAAAAAATTAAGACAGTATAATTCTTCAGCACAACCTGGACACACATGTTGACCACATTGACAGTAACGTGCCGATTTTCTGAAAATCACGTATTCGAGATAGTAACTTTTACAATAGCTTAGTGATCTAGAGTTAATATGCTTCCCTAGTATTCCCACACTAGGTCAGTCGAAGCGAGAGTGTACATTAGAAAGGGACAACGAAGATCCCGGTAAGACGAAGGAACACTCACCTTCGCCAGACTTCTTGGAGATACCAAAACCGGCGGTCGATTTTCTCCATCCTCTCCAGTTGTTGCACAGGGACTCCGGCTCGCTGCTCCAGCTGCATAACGAGTCCTCTTCGAAACGATCGGAGTCCTCGAAGGAGAAACGATCGGTACAATCGGTCCCCTCCCACTCCATTCTCTGTGCACCAGGTTGACCGGGGCAGTCCTCGACGGCCCCGGGTCCGGGGGACGCACCAACCGGTCCTGTGCCTCTAGCCCCGCCGCCAGAACCACCACCGCTGCTACCACTGTTCCAGCCACCACCCCCGCCCCCTCCACCACCGCCTCCTCCTCCGCCACCCCCTGCGCCATCACCGCCGCGCCTGCCACCGCCGCTACCACCCACCGCCACGGGAGAACGAGCCAGGTTGCCCGCCAGTTTTAATTATCGGTACGAATCGACACACGCGACACTACGGGCCACTGCGCCCCCAGGACGACCACCACCGCGTGCACTCCGACGACGGGGCCCCACCGCAATCACGAAGCGACGACACCGCCGCCGTCCCTCACGAGCAGAGCCACCGTTCAACCTGCTAACCCGTCACCCGGTTCACGAACGATCACCACTGCCTGCGGGACAACAGAACGATAATTATTAGGTGGTTCAGGCTCTTCACGTGCTCTCGAACAGGATCATCACGCGTGCCACCTCACCCCCCGCCTCCTGAATCCTCATCCTCTTTCAACAATTCGATATAGCCGGTTGATAAGGTGTCCACCTTTATCCAGGTGTATAAAAGACTCGGGTGAACGATATTTTGAGAGTGTATAACGAAATTAAAGGACTAGGAAACCTAGCGGATAAAGGAGCTTGTATTCAAACAGCGGTGGTTCAATTAGGTCACCGGGATCAGGGCATTTAAAAAATGTTTGGGATTTCCTTTACAAGCTGCTGGAATTAGGTAAGTGGGCTGCTTTTAGGTATGTAACGAGAATGTGTCACGTTAATATGAGTGTTGGAATATTGTTTATAGGTGGCACACGTGATAGTTATACCGGTAATTGATGTAATGATAATGATTGTCAACAGTCGGACTAGGTCACGCATGCAACAGGAGCGACGAGTGTGTGTTTTAAAGAGTAAGAAAATAAGAAGACGAATGGCCAATATTCTTTGGGACAGTCCCCTTTAATTGTATGTATATGAAAGTTGATGAAACCATGGATTCGAGTCCGCGCGCGGCGTAATTTGTAAATCCGAACGAACACTTCTCTAACCACCATTTTGCCACGGCCAACAAGGCGCCCGATATTTCCCCCTCTGTTATACTCGCAGTCATCGGAGACAGCTACGGCAACCGCTACTTTCAACCCTTGTGGACAGTTTGGTTCAATTTGACAAGTACCGTTACCTCTTCGTTTCTTTCGTAGCTTTTGTATTGTTACTTCAACCATGAAATGTTTACGCAAATTTATAAATGTTTGATAGACTAATTGAGGAAAATTAAAATCAAAAAGAAGTTTTGCTTTCTCTGTTTCTATTTTCTATGGCTTGGTAAAATCTTGTCATAAATGGATAAAACCCGCAGTTTAATTATTACTAGTACTTTAATCGCGATAAATATACCTGTGTTTTGATAGGTAATGTGTACACAGAGTCCACCGGGACTTTTAAAGATCAAGACACGGATAATGTCACTGAAGAATTTACCGTTAGGTATGCGGTAAACAAGGACATATCTGAAATACTCATTTTATATTTCAAATAATTTATGACCAGATCTAAATCCTCGATGGTACAAGGTCACCTTTCACTTTCGAATTCTGTCATTCGGTCCGCTTTATATCTGCAGAAAATAAATTTAAATCACTTGTATATCATTCGTGTTGACTACTCTCAACACGTTAACGACTCAAATGGATGTAAATAAAACCTTCGCGAATAATAGTTTTTGTTCTGTTTTCTAAAATGGAACGATGCTGTCGTTAATATGTTGTCCATAATAAAAATGTATCACAAAGCAGGCAGATCTGGACATTAGTTGAATATTATTTTCATCTTGTTAGTTTCAGACATAATTTGACACATTGTATCCATTCTGGCAAAATATAACGGTAGAATGGAGAATGTAATAAAAAGTAGCGGTCGATCCACCAATGTCATCGAATACCATTTGTCGATAATTCTATATCTTCCAACTTGTTTTGATTCGAACAAACCAAACGCATTCGTCATTTCAAAGAAATTGACAGACAAACCAGGAAAATCTGTCCACCTACCCTGAAACATTTAAAATCTCTCTAACGCAAAGTAAAATAAAAACAGCTGATTCACGTCGCTAGAATGTTTGAACAAGCGTATTGATTTTCTCCATACGAAAGGATCTTTTCCGTATTTCGCGTAAGTTCGCGCGTACGGAAATCCACAGAAGATAAAAGACCGTACATGAAAATTCCAAATCAAGACGTTACTAGGGAATATTATAACGAACGTCAAATAGCAGTGTGTGATTAGGTTAGGTTATGTTTTCAGCCACGAGAGGATAAGAGAAAATTGAAAAGAGGGAGAGTTGTATCGGTGAGGCGAGGGATGGAGGCACAAGGACCTTGGCGGGTCGACAGACCCACGTCAAGAACGTGCGACGACCCCGACCCCGCCAAGGGGAGTGCAACCCCTCTCCTCTTTTTCTTACGTCTACCACCCCGTGTGCCTCACTGTTCCACCTTTCACACCTGTCGTCCACACATATTCGAACCCTTTTCCTGCTTACCTCACCCTCTCTAACGAGTTTACCGTTCCGTCACTGGTGCACTTCACACCCCTCCTTCCTCCTTTTCCTACTACAACTACCAACACCACCGAACGAACAGTACGAAACCAGAACAGAATGGGGAGTAGTACACAACAAACATAGATTATACGTATACACGCATGCACACATAGAACGGCGCACTCGACAATAGAGTAGGACAGCTGAGGCACCAGTGCCCCACCAGTTTTATGTAAGAGACATCTTGCACTGTGTCCGCGGTACCTTCCGCGAAGGTTTAGCCCGGCACGGGCACGCGAACGATTCGACTGATTTACGTTGGAATTACACACTACCACTGCACTAATCACCCAAAACTCCAGCTAGCCTACCCCATCGACGACAACAACAAATATGGCGAGCGAACCTCCTCCTGCGCCTCGCTGTTACGACTGCCGACTAACCGCCAGGTGGCGATCCAAACGCCGTTCCCGACGCTTCCCCCTCCATCGACACCTTCGTTTCCGATTCGGATGTCCTCGTGCAACATCGAGAATATTCACGCGACGCGGTTTTCAATTGAATTCAGAAAAACGGTAACCAAAGAAATTACGTTGCTCTGTTAAAGTGTACTTGTCTTAGATTAATTGTAACATTGACTGTAAATGATATTCATTGTAGACGGCATTGTGTATTGATTCCTTTCCTTTTCACTAATCATTTCAAGAACCATTGGCTTTTTGTATTATTGACGACACGATTTTTCACATAATATTATCACAAACTTACTCTCTATAAATGGTTTTCAAAATACGATTGAGTTATTTCTATTCTGGTGGTGAAAAGAATCATCCATCCGTCTTTCACGACCGAAAAGTTACTATGTAACCAAAATAGCAGTCCCCTCTTACCAGATGGTATACGACTTGTAAAGTATTTTGAAAGCTACTCTAAATACACAGTATTTGTTATAGAAATTGTACTATCGCAGTGTCACATTATCTGTGCAATCTCTTTGAATCAATATCGTGTATTTCTTGCTGCTCAATGTAACGTTTTTAATTAATACTTAGTTATTTCATACACAATATTTGTGATGAAAGAGACATGTGGCGCCATCTGTGTCAAAGTACCCCATTTTGTAGCCAATGGACGAATTTCTTGAACCTAGATGGCATCATAATACTATTTAGGCTACAATTTTATTAGAAAAGTAAGGTTTAGTTAAAAACATAAGATGCAACAATTTTCATTAAATAACATGAATGCAGAATATTTCATAATAATAGTATTATATAAATTTCATAATTAATTTAATATTATTTAATCAGTGTGATTTGAAACTCGCGCCTACTTCATACTACGTATATTAGGACCGATACTCAAGATAATCTTACCAGAGTGTACAACATTAAAAATTAAATTACACCTTTCTCTACTCATAGGAACATTTTTAAATATCTCATTAAAAAATAATCATATATATTCGACCAATGACAGTTTAATTGATATACCAAATTTTTCGCGCCTTTTATCCGAATATTTTAAAAATACGTTACTAGATTGATTACTTGAAATAGTCTGTCATACATTAAATATAATTAGAATACATACATGATAATTTAGCTTATAAACTATGTAAACAACATTTGTATGTAATATCACAGACGAAACATATGAATAGACCTAACATGCAATGTAATTTTCTGTCCCATGCTTCGAGGGCGTCAGAAGCCCCCTTACCATTTTAGTGTCAATACCCGACGTTACCGATAAAGCACGAATTCTGAGTATTATTAGCACAAATGAAGTGTTATATATTCCATTCATATTGCGTGTATCTATATGATTTGACGGGAATAAAAATATCCGATGCTTCAGTTTAATTCAAACCACGATTTACCCAATATTGCTGGTGGTTGGGCCGATCTGTCGACCACAATACAAACTACTACGACTACAACTACAGACGAGTACAGTGACAAAGTAGTAACAGAATGACTCCCCATTCGAAGATGCAGAGCCATTGGTAGTTGCCCTTTTCAATGACACAATTTGTGTCGGGCCTCTTCGGCATATAGCCTCTTCTTTTCTTCGGCAGTCCACCCACCTGAAACCCTCAAGCTACTCGGTTGTGGACGACCAACAACTCCAAAAGCCTGTATGATCGTACCACGAGTGTAATCGAGCAGGTCGTTCGTTTCGACAATCCTATCCTTCCGACCGCGACCGCGACGACGACCCCCTTGGGGTTCGCCGAATTTGAAGAATCGAAATCAAAATCGGAAGCAGACAGCATGCTCCGTCTGGACCAGTTTCGAATCGACGCTACAAATTATCCCGGTAGTAGGACTATCACGCGAAACCTACGCGAGCCTACCCGATCAGTACACATTCACACACAAGAAAGTATGCTACCTGCCTACCTAGCCCTATATTTAAAAAGAAATGGCAAAAGACAGATTCTCACGAACACACAACACTCCACGGTTCTCAAGCATACGCCCGGATGCAAATCAACCTAAGACCTAGGGAGAACGTCCCGGGACGTCTCCGACACCCG